AACAAAGCCTCTTTTTTGGTGAATTTAGTTGCTTCAGAGAGACAAACAGCTGTGCAATCATGTGAGCAGTTGAAGAAGTCTTTGGAAAATGCATATGCATAAGAGCAGAGGGTTTTCCATGATAATCTGAGACCAGCTTCTAATTCAGCACACCTGGCATCAGACATCTCTTGTTTTCATGAACCAGTGCACTAACAAAATGTCTGCTTCTAGACGCTCTTTCCTGAAACCACAAGCCAAGCAAGGGCAGGTACGTAGCCACTTCAGGATCTTTGTGATGCTGGGCTGGCTGCTTTGCCTGTCCAGCCTGCTTGGATGCTGCTTGTAGCTGTGAGAGTAGATGTTTGGATGTTTTTAATAGACGCTGCTGTTAACAGCTCAGTGACTGCTTTATCTGCAAATCTTATGGCCCAGATAATGCTGGTAGTCAAGTAATCAWGCAGTGCATGAAAAACTAAGCTGCTCTAGGCCCCCATGAAAAGAAGTTTCAGCAAGGCACATTCCTGTGCTCCGTGGACAGGCTGGAAGGCACGCAGTCTCCCYGGATGCTCTGGGCAGGCTGTCAGTTAGGAGGGAAGGAATTAAAAGCTGCTAAGTCTTCATTTCATTAAAGAATGCAAGTTTTTTTTCCCATTGTACCCTTATCCCCTTCGATTTTTGCAATTTCTGCTGAAGTCTCCCAAAAGGAAGTGCTTTGTTGTGATAAGCTTGATACTTGCCTATGGTTTGTGTAATTTAAAAATACCATAGGCTATTTTGGGCAGTGATCCTGAAACTCTTCACTTTAATGACTACACAAAGTATTTTCTAAAAYGTTCAAGATCTTTTTGGAACCGTGTGTGGAAAGTGCGTTCTAAAATCTCACTGTCTCTATAAAAGCAGCATGCAAGATAGGTTCCCTTGCTTCTCAGTCTTGTATGTAAACAGTTACATGTGCTGAACATTAGCCTCATACCTCATTCCAGTGATTTATCAGATTGGATCACAGCTTGCAAAAATCAAGACTTGAGTGTGTGGCAGATGTTAAGTGTGTGTTGGTGGAGTATTTATTGTAGACAGCTGATGGTTTGTGTGCATGTTGGTAAGCCTGCTTTTACTTYTACGTTCTTTCGTTAACTGGCTAGCTCGTGTTAACCATAGGTGCTCCTCAGGCTGTTGTAAGATTGGGATTGTGCAATATGTCCGGGCCTGCCTGCACTTGGAAAGGTGGTTTGCACGAACTAGGGCTGTTACGTGTCTGCTTACTTCTGCTCTTTGCGGGGTGGATGTCAACAATCCTGTTCCTTGCATTGGCAGGCACCTACAGCGCTCAAATCGAATGAGGTGGTAGGAAAACATCTGTTCAGAGAAGGGAGAAGGCGTGTATGACAGCTGCAAGGCATTCACCACTGCCTTCCCTCCTGCCCGCTCACTGTGCCCTCACATGAAATGGTAGAACTGTTGCTGCTGTTGCATAATAAATCAGCAGCTGAGAAGGATTTTCATGCCTTGGGTTTTATTTTAAAGCCACTAGGCTTCTTTCTTTGGTCACCCCCCCCCGCAGAATAAAGAACTGGCAGGGCTCATGAGATGCTGGAGCAGGAGTAGGAGTGAGTGGCTGGCAGAGGAGTCAGATTAGTCTGAGTTGGAAGGATGATTGAGTCCAACTCTTAAGTGAATGTCCTATGTGGGGATCACACCCACAACTCGCGTCATTAGGAGGAAGGCTGGAGGGAGCCAGGGKTTGTTAAGCCAGCCTGGCTACCAGAAGAAATGTCTGTGGAACTGTGCTTTGGATATATTTTAACAGAACAGTTTCCCACACAGCTTTGCACAGCTGCTGTTGTGAAACCAGTCAAGTCAGCTATCATCCATACAGTTCAAATCCTGGTGCAGTCTGTTTTCAGATATATTAGGTATTAGATTTTGAGGTCTCAGGCAAGCTGGCACTGTACCCTCTACTCCAAAAGAGCAGCAMCGATCAAACCAGGTGGCTGGTGTGTGCTCTGGTGGTGTGGTGGGTTAGTGTGAGCGAGCTGGCTGATGGTGAGTGTTTGTGAAAAGCATAAATATTTGCCTAATGTTYGTAACTATTGTCAGACTGTGGTGTTCACCCGGTGAGATGTAAAGCTGTAGAGAGAGCTGGGCTGGCTGTGTTTGCTGCCTGACTTGTCCACCCTTTGGATGAGAAGGACTTGAATCCTGCTGCAGGATGACAGATACCTGCCAGAGCAGCCTGGCTTCCAGGTGCCATTGTGCTGAGCTCTTGGAGAATGTGGGTTTGGGAGGATCATGATACTCTGAAGGAGCTCTGTACATACAGACCTGGATTTTCAAGGCCTGCCTGCTGGCAGTGGTCACAGACCTTCGTTGTTGGGTTGTTTCGGTCCAGTATCTTCATCCTGCAGAACCACATCATTTGGAGGAGCTTTTGTTTAACAGTAAGCTAAATCTGTAAAAGGTTTTTGACATTACTTTCTTTCTTTCACMGACTGTTTTTTATAATGTGACAAAAACTTGATGCTGGCCTGCAGTGGGTTTTGAGCTCCTGGGCAGACCATTGCTGCAGTCGAAAGGCAGAGGAGAAGTGAGATGGGCCAAAAGCATGTGGCATCAGAATGTAGCTTTCCTGCATGTTGACCAAAACTTTTTAACAGAGAGCTCTTTGTAGATGTGGGCTTTGAAGTCTGCCACCCAAAGATAATATCTTTGAAACCTCTAGGGTCAGCAAGTTGTGGCCAGGAGCTTACTCTTTGGGACAGAAGCTGCTCTCATTTATTTTCAAATAACACCTATTTCATCGTGGCCTGGAATGTTAGCGGTACAGTTTAAAAAAGAAAAAAAAAACCCCAACCCTTCACAACTAACCACAAACCACCAAATTTGGGACTGTGGCTGAATAATCTAAGCAACTTTCTATGGTTTCCATGGTTATTCACAGTGCCTAAAGAGGTTCACCTGGAAAATGATGGAAATAATGGTATTTTTCACAAATATCTCCTATTTATAGGATATGTGGTCAGTATTAGAAACTATCATTAAAGTCTAAATAAATGTAGAAAAGTACATAAATTAATTATATAGTCTATTTTAAGTATTTGTTGCTTTAAGTAGCAGCTCTAGGGACCCAGGAGTAGAATAGCAGACATTGCTGGACGTAGATGAGATTTTACTGGCAGCGCTCTCTAGCACCTGGTATAGGAAAATGTTTTTCTCCTTACAAATGCCAAAGCTGCATACCTTTTTACTTCCATACTGTAGTTGTTAATATTATGCTAAAGCCAACAGTTCAAGTTCATTGTGGATACTTTGGATCAGGCTGATACCAAGTCCTTTCAGGTTAAAAGGACCGTTGGTCTTACTAGTTTTTTTTGGGTTTTTTGTTATAATTGTGAAGTGCATGAATTATACTTTTCTGTTATGCATTTATTTTGAAATGTTATTCCGTTTGTTTGCTGAATCAATAACTTGAAATAAGCTTCCTTATTTCCTGGACTCATGTTGGTAAAAGGTAATGTAATTTTACTACCTATAAAAAATGGAATTGCCATTCAACCTTCTATTTTGAAAGTATGTTTGCACGATGTGCGTTTTGCACACAGCATTTTTAATTTCCAGCTTTGGTGCCAACATGAGCCTGTTCTGTTTATTCCCTATAGCTGGAGCTCTGTGTTTTGGGGAGGATTTCTGTTTGCAGCAGCAGCAGTTTTAGCAGCTGTGTGCTTTCAGTCCCTGCCTCCTCTGGCATGAAATCCAGCGCTGAAGTGAGAGAGGAGCAGTGTGGGGACTGGGTTGGACTGTCCCCATTTTATGTCTTCTGCAACTGAAGAGCTGTTGTTGAGCAAGGGAAGGGCCTGTCTGCCACCCCCTTCTTGGGAGCTGGAGACAAGGAAACATGAGCTTGAGTGCTGCACAGGGAGTCATGGCAAGGAAATGATAAACTGGGAATCTTTTCAAGAGGCTTCTTCAAAATGATTTGGGGCTCTTTGAACAATCAGTCTGGTTGTGAGACTCTGTGGAGTTAGATATATATGCTAACATACATGAAACCCCATCCGCTTTATCAGAGAAGTCATGGGTGCTGGAAGAGAAAGGGTCCTGGGAGGAAAATAGTGCCTGATGGTTGGGCACCTGAAGGCATATACAACCAGTGAAGTTTGCCTGGATGACTCAAATGTGGTACTTGTGGGTTTTCAATCCCTCAGCAAACATCCACCTTCTACAACTGCTTGCTGAAATCAGAGGGTCCTCGGAGTGTTCCCATGGCCCCTCCAAAACACCGGTGAAAAGCAGCTCTGGGAGCACACCATGCCTAGCCTCAGGGAGCCCTGGCAAATGGGAGTTCAGGGAGGTGAGGTTATTCTGGGTTGGCAGCAGTGAGATCTGGGAGGGCAGGTCCCTGTTCCTGGCTGCCTGCTGATGTCCATAAATCCCTCCTGTGCTCATGGCTGGTGGGTTAAGCACAGGAGCCATATGGAGCTGCTGCCTATTTCAAGGAACGGCCTGGCCATGGACAATGCTGCCTTATGCATATAAATAAAGCTTACCTGTGTATTTTATATACTCCTTTGCTAAAACTAGATGGCAGGGAAGGTGAATACAGGTTCTTTGAAAGTCAGTGATACTGCTGACAGCAAGAAAATTATGAGCATCAATCTAGATCCCTTTCAGATTTATTCAGTACCTTTCCCCTTGTTGAATAAGGTAATTACATGCTTTTTCTATGCTTTTTGGGTTTTATCTTGGTGGACCCTCAGCTGTTGGTAGAAAAAGACTAAAATACACAAGGGATCATCTCTCATACTTAGCAAATCTGGAAAAGCTAGAAGCTGGTGAGTTTTGATGAACAAGACAGTCTGTTTCCGCTTAAATGCTGCTCAGCTGGGAGGAGAGGCCATGAGAAATTCTGGAGTTTTTCAGGAAGTCTTCCAACTGCCCTGTCTGACTTTTGCAATAGAAACCTTAGGATGGTGGGTTTTGGTGGGTTTTTGATCTCTGTTTTTTTTTGTCTTACTTTCTAGTTGGCCTGCTGCTGTGGTACTGCTGCTTGTTCCTTGTGCTGCAAATGCTGCCCCAAGATAAAACAGTCAACCAGCACCCGCTTCATGTATGCGCTTTACTTCATCCTGGTGACCATCATCTGCTGTGTCATGATGTCAACAACAGTAGCTAACGAAATGAAAACTCATGTAAGTAACAGAGATGTGGTCACCACTGCCCCTGGGAGAAAATGTGGTTCCTTCCACAGCTGCTGGTGTATAGGGGTGCTCCATCAGAAGAGGCGGATGATTTCCTCCACCCATCTATTTCCAAACSCACATGGGATGATTTTCCATGCTCAGTCTCTTGATTTTTCCATGCTTAGCCTCTTCCTGTCGCCCATTGAGTATGTTTCACAACAGGAAGAGCCAAGGCCTAGCATCCTTCCTCTCTGGTGCAGAAATCCGCTGCAGTGAACCCACCCTAGATTTGCTGTGCAGGCACTGTCACAAGAAGGAGAAGTATTAGGGAACTTGTTTTAGTAGAACAAATTAGTTCAGTCTAACCTTGATTTTGTCTCTGGCAGCTTGTTTAGTAGCCAAAGCAGCAAATTAGAAAATGTCTCTTCAAGTTTCAAGTTACGGTTTTAATTCTGCCTTCCTGGTGTGAGGGACTGCTGCAAAGCACAACACTGCAGAGCCTTTGTAAGGGGTTTTCTTCAGTGTATATTGAGTCATTGTGTTCACATGGCCTCTAACCACAGCAAATATTCTTCATCTGTAATTGTCTTTTTAATTAAAGAGCTTCAGAAGCATGAAAGAAGCTGTGGCTAAAGCTAGATTTTAAAACTCAAGTTTCTTTCACAGTCTTAATATAACTTTCATAAGCTAAATGCTCATCAGCCTGCTTGTGCTCACACACAGGTCCTGTTGTACCACACATTTGGTTTGGTAAACCACCCAAGTAGCACAAATCCTCTCTGTCGCTACAAACTGCAATAATTAAAGTCTGCTTTTAAGTAGAGGGAACAAGGTATGCATTGCTTAATTCTTAAAAATGAAGGTTCTGCACCAAAGGTGTCACTGAGCCTGCTTTGGGCCAGTGTATGTGCTGGTCCTGGAGGTTCAGAAGGCTTTTCTCAATTTGGGCATCCAGTTGTTTTGTGCTACTCTGCCAGGAGAGTGCTGTGGTTGCACAGTGAGGGCTCCTTTCTCCTTGAACCAGTTGCTGAACAAGCTGATGCCCTGGTTACATTCTGCACTTGACTTTCAGTCATCTGTGGAGCACTTCCCGCCAAAGCATCCCAGATGCAGAAGCTGGTGGCAGCTCCTCTTTCCTGCAACACAGATGAACCAGCGGGTTTGTAGCAGGCTGATCTGAGGGCTTCCATGCTCTGCTTCCCGTGACCTTTCCTTCTTCCCATTGTACCCTTTTGGTATGCTCTGTCTTAATTTTCTTTCATTTAATAGTGCTTTGAATGAGTTATCCTAATGCCACCTTCTATTCTCTGGGCTACTAGGAATTGATGACCACCCTGCAGGAGCACCCAGCACAGACATGATGCTTGCGAGCTGAGACTTAAAAACTGTTCAACATGTGCATGCTGAAATTGCTTGCCAGGAATTACTTTGACTTACTGGATGCTTAGCTTGGCAATAAAGTGAATAACCCAAGGAACTTATGTGTGTGGGAGACAAATTATGTGCTCATATCCAAATTTCATAAAGTTATTTTCCATCAGTAGTGTGGTTTTAATGCAGCTTGTATCCCTAACAAAAAATAGTCAGTCTTTATCCAACAGAAAAGTGATTCAAGAAGCCTTCAACAACATGCTTTTCAGTATTGCCAAATTTCTTTTCCAGTTCATAGTCTTGAAAGCTCGGTGTGGGAAGAAATGGCACAAAGAGTAGCTGTTAGTGTGAAGTGGAAAGATAATCACTCTCTTAGTTTAGAGCATTTGATGTCTTTGAATGGGAAATGGACCATCTGAAAGTAGGCTTTCTTTATCTGCTCTCTAATTTAATAATTATGTTCAGGGCTGTTAAAAGTTCAAAGACCTCTGAAGCTAATTCAGTACAGTTGTGATAGTCTGCACCTTGAAAATATTTATTCAGACTAACCAGTCTCAGCTTCCCAATGATGAGCTGTGTTTTGAATGTGCTGTCCACTTATTGATTCCTTTGTTTTTGGCTGGGCCATGCAACTCTCCTAGCTCCTAAAGCCAGGCTGTAAGCAAATACTTTGCATGATTTTTTGGGACCTCACCCTCTGTTTTGTTGGGTTTTTTTTTTGAGAGAAGCCAGATTTTACATTAATTTTAATTAGATCTTTTTTAAAAAATTAGTATTTAGGCAAAGAATTTAAAATTGTAGTGCAGTCCTTTACAGAGCTGTAATCTTGGCAGAGAATAATGTCTCTTTTACCAGTGTAGAGTTCAAATACTCATCCTGATCTTATATGAAAGGAATCTCTCTTTTGTCAGTGAGAGATGTGTATTTCTCTTTAGTTGTTTTGCTCTAGATTCCCAAATCTACAGTAGTAGGTCTCTGAGAGAAGAAGCAAGAGACAGTGGAGGAACAGGGACGAAGCTGATGGTTATGTCCAGGAAAGTGTTTTGGATAGTAGGATATAAATAGATTTTGCAGGGGCAACATTGTGTATCAAGGCAAAAGAGGGGGTGTTCATCAGTCAAGACACATGAGCCTGAGAAATACAGAAAAGACCAACATGAAGTTGCACAAAATGCTTTAGAGACTTGACTCTGTTCCAGAATGAAGCAAAGCCGGACCCAGCTTGAAGTGCTTCTATACCTTGATCCATATATTATTTTGTTTTTCCTGTTACGCTATTTTTAAAATAAAATGGGTACAGCTCTACTCACATACGTTCTGTTGAAGCAAAGCCTTTCATATCACAGGCTTTGAAAGGATAATTGAAAGAAGGAAAGGGAAAGAACAATGTTTTGGTTTTTTTTAAATTAAAATTTTGATCTTCATGCTCTTCCAAAATTAGTGGTTTCAGTCTGAAAATATTCATATCCTACTTAAATAATGAAAAGTAAGAGAGACGTTTTCAGGAAAACAAGCACCAGTAAAACTCAGTTTAACTGTGTGAAAGCATTTCAGTACTAAGTGGTGGACACATGTTTTGGCGAAACATATTTTCAGGCTTCAGCTTTTCCCCAGCTAGGTTTGTATCTTTGCCCTTAACTGCACTATTGTATATTACATCCCAAATATGCTACCAAAACCAAGAGTTGTCAGTGCAGGTGCTCATTGCATATTTCTGATAAAAACTTAGCCATAGATTCAAGATTACATGTGTTCTGGTCTGATTGTTTCTTGGGTTTTAATTTCTTCTCTCAGCTGCCCAGGACAAATGGTTTTACCGGGTTTTTTTTGCGCTTGCTTTCCCACCTATGCAGATTTTCTTTCACGCTTCCTCTGTTTCCATAACAGAGTTTTCCTGCCCTATTCTCCCTCCATGGATGAGGACATTCAGATGAAAGCAGGCGCCTTCATGCCTATTTCTACACACTTCTTTATTTCTGATCCCATTTGATGCTCTTTGCCATTGGAAGGAATGAGAGGGAGGTGTCTTTACAAACTGCAGGGCCTGCTGGTAGATAAAGCCAGATACTGATAGGTGAAAGGAGCAATGGGAGGAACCATAAATTCCAGAGGAATTCTACTAATTGACAAGGACTGTTACTCACCCAAGGCTGTGCTAAATCCCTGGACTTAAAGAAGAAGAGCAGAGACACAAATTAAAAAGGGGGCAGGTGGGAATGCAAATCAGATGGGGGTCTGTATTAGGCGATTCGGGAAGTCTGTACCTCTCAAGTACCTCAACCAGTGGGGAAAGAGAGGGAAATGTAGCTGGGAAATTAGGATAAAAAGGAGGCTGCTTTCTCTAGCAATTTGAGAGACCCCATGGAGATGTCCCATGGCCTCTCCCTTTATTCAGATAAAGTTACAGGATTCCTCTGTCTTCTTTTTGGACATAAACCTCTGGTGTTTGTGGATTAATTTTCCTAACACTCTTCTGCACTCACATGTTTGGGTGCTGACAGACCCCATTTGGGGGTGGCCAAACCCTGTCCGGCCAGGGCCTGGTGCAGCATGGCCCTGTTGGCTTCTTGCACTGAGATGGTTTCGTGTGCCTGCAGTGAGAGAAGAGCAAATTTGGGGCACCCTGTTTATGTAGATGTTACTCAAAGCTGTTGATCATCTCTGAGTGCATGCAGGAAAATTGCCAGCTCTGCTGTGATAGCATCATTGCTTGCGCAGCAGCTGAGGCGTTTGTGTTATGGGAGTGGATACTGAGTTTCTGCAACAAGAATGCTTTGTCCTCTACTCAGAGGGCAAAGAATTCAGCTTCTGCTGCTTTTAAAGGTATAAAAGTAGCTATTTCACTGTATCTTGGGAAATAACTAATCTGTGACTTAACAGCTGTCAAAAATACCCAGCAAATGGAAAGCTTGGTAAATCACATGGGGTGGGCAGGCTTCTCAGCAGCTGAATGTGTTTCAGAGGTATAGATTGAAAGAAAACATTAATATTTATTGTCTTTCCCTGAAGTCACATTAGACTTGATAAATTGCTGCCAGCAGTAGACCATCCTTTTGCAGAAATACGCCCTTTTTATTACATCAGTCCTATTGTACCCAGCAATGTGTTTGTGTTTAAGAGCTTGATTTTATTCTTGTTTTGTTCCTTCAGGACCAGGTCTTAAAAGGACATTTGATACACAGGACTGTTCCTGTGGCCATCATTTTTTGCTGCAACTGTGGTGAATACCACATGATCACTAAGGTCTTTGTTACTTGTGTAGGGCAAACTGAGCCCTATGTTCTTGGGAATCCATCTGTTTTCTCTCTGCCAGACCTGTAATGAAGTTAATACTTACACGAGAAAAGAATATATAGGGTCAAAAATCCCATGAAGATCTAGGTGGAAACCTATGCAGTTTCTACATAGATCTTCAATTGCAGAAGGTGCCTATTTATGGTTACCCAGAGATCTGGTTTTAATTAGCTAATCAATTAATCAAGTTCTGTGGTATTTTTGTTTTGTTTTGTTTGGTAAGTCTTGTAAGTAAAGTGAACAGATCTTGTAGAAATGTGTATCAAACAAATAGATAGTTTTTCCAGAAGTGTTTTTAGTTCAGAATTACACTGCTTTCTAACCTCTCCTGATTGATGGTTATTATATGCAAAGAATAGGAAAGCATTAATTGATAGCTCAGTCACTTTCTCTGGCATTGCGGTGGCCCCTCGGCTTGCCCTGGCATCACTGTGGTTGTTGATAGTTCTCATAATTATTCCAGTCAATCCATTTGCTCATTTCAAATGCTGGCATGTTTGCCCAGTCTGACATTTCGTTGCCTTCCAAGACCTGGGAAAAGCATCACTGATGCTTCAGACAATTTCTCAGGAGCTTTCCAAAAATGCTTGGATGCAAATTAACCACAGCTACTCATTTAATCGAGTTTCTTTACACAGTGGCTGTTCCTCTCTGATTTAGTGCTAAAAGAGTGGCTTGGAGTGGCCCAGCTTGACTCCATTCTCGTAGCACCACACAGCTGTTCTGAGCCCAGTTTTCATTTCCTCAGCTAGTTCCTGCCCACCTAGGATCAGCTCCATGTTTTAGTTAGGTTTGCTGCCCTTAGCTCAGCGACTCAGTGTTGCTTTGAGTTGCTAATGTAGCTTCACCTTTTGAGAAACTGCTTAGAGGGTTGTTGAGCTCGTGACTCTTGGATTCCTGGAAAGTGGATAGAAGTTACATACACTCCTGAGAGAGGCAGGCTTTGGGAGCCTGGTGGCTGGGAGCTGGCAGTTTAGTTGTTTATCCCTTGTTTCCTGCATCTCGGAGGGCTTTCTCCCCAGCTGGGAATGCTGCCTGATGGTTAGCACCCAGGCCCTGTTATTCTTTCATTGTCATTGCTTTGTGTAGTGACCTGCTTGCTGGATGAAGGGGTGTCTTTTGCCACAGGGGTGTCTTTTGCCACAGCTGTTGATTTGTGCATGTTGTGTCTTGCCATATGTTGTCTTCTCTCTCCTCCCGTCACCTGTACAGGTAGCAGCAGTCAGCTCCAGAGAGTTTAATAATGTGGTACAACTGGTCTTTCCAGCCTCAGCTGAAGGCTGTAAACATACAGAGAAGTCCTTTTTTCTTTGAAATGGATTGTGGTTTTCTAATTAAATTCCTGTATTTCTGTGCAGCTGAATAGCTCCCTGGCTGTGAGGGGCGGATGTCTGCACAGAGGTGCCTCACAGCAGCGGGTCCTGGCCACACAGACCTGCTTTTTTGAGCACCCAGAATCATGTTCATGTGATGAAGCTGAAACCAAAATGTGCAGCTGTTTGCTTTCCCCTCTCGGGGAAAGGCCTCAAAGGCAAATATTTAATGAGTCAAGAGAGGCAGGAATATTCCACGTTTCTGTTAATTTAAAACAAAATCAGGTCAACTGGCATAGCTCGCTTTCAGAAGCCGTGATGGAGAGGATGGTGGTTGCTGCCCCTGTGACACTTTGCTGTGCTTCTGTCTGCATTTCCATCTGGGGTAGCACCAGCCCCTGGTCTGTCTCATGTAAGCTGAATTATTGAAGCAATCAGAGTATTTTGCTGTAAAGCGTGGGAAGAAGGGAGAATTCCCCCAGGGGCGAGGGAATAAACAGTAATGGACAGGGAAGGTATGAGCCAAGAGAGCTGAAGAGAAGTGGATTTGCACCACAGAGGATCTGTAAGGAGCTGAGCGAAGGCTCTGGAAAACTTCAATCCCTTCTAGTTTAGGTTTTGTTATATCCCCTGAAACCTGAAATCCAGACCAAAGAGGTATCAAAAGTGAAAGGTATTAAATAAAGACAGTGAAAAGTCAGTGGTGCACAGACGTAGAGATGCTTGGTTATGTGTGCTTCATCTCCTTTCTAACATCTCATAATGTGTTCTGCTTTTCAGATTCCTTTCTACAAGGAGATGTGCAAGGGTATTCAGGCGGGAGAGATGTGTGAGAAGTTGGTGGGATACTCTGCAGTGTACAAAGTCTGTTTTGGAATGGCCTGTTTCTTCTTTTTGTTCTTCTTGTTCACCATCAAAATTGACAGCAGCAAAAGCTGCCGAGCATACATTCATAATGGGTGAGTGTCTTGTTTGATATATCAAATTTTCACATCTCTTTACAAGTTTGTGCCACCAACTTTCCACTTGGGTGTAGTACTAGGCAGAGAAAAACCCCCAATCAAAAAACCAAAAGAAAAAAAATCTTTACTTTGCTCCTATTGTCAGAAATAATGCAGTCAAGTAAAAACTAACTAAAGAGGTAAGTTTTTTTTTCTTTTTAGGCTTTAAATAGAGTTTTACTCTATTTACTAGAGTTGGAAATCTCTAATTCCTATTACAACTAGTTTGTTTTTTTTGTTTGTTTTTGTTTCCTCACATTCAGATTCTGGCTTATTAAACTCATAGTTCTGGCAGCAATGTGCTCAGGAGCCTTCTTCATTCCTGATCAGGACACTTTCCTCAACGGTATGTCCTTTTGTTTGCTTATCCTTCTTAGTTCTGTACTATCTTGTGAGTGGTTATAAATCCAAGAGGTTGATCAAGAGAATATTGCCATTTTTCTTCTAGTAAAGCCTTTACATGCCAGGTACCAGAAGGGAATTTGGAGCTGTTTGGGGGGAATGCTGTGTGCACAAACTGTGTGGTCTTCATGTGAATGTGCAGCAATCACCATGTTACTTTCTGACCAAGAGCAGGTCAGAGGGGTCGGTAGCAACACCAAGCAGTGCTGCCTTGCAAATTCTTTATGAAGTAAGGGACTGTAACGATGCAGAAGGAATTGTTCACTCAGGAACACAGAGCTGCGTTTTAGTTTGGCTGGTGGAGGTAGGTCTGGCATAGGGCAGCAGCCAGGCTGCACAGTGGAGAGGTGCCAGTGCTCCAGGAGGCACAGTAACCTGCTGGGCACTGGTGCTTGCTGCCTGGAAACCTGCAGTGCCAAAAAAGAATTTGGGATGTTTTTCATTTTCAGGTTGGTGTCATACAGTAAGGTAAAATTATGGTTCCTGGGCCCTGGTCTGAGTGGTCTGCTGAGGATGCTACGCCAGAAGCATTTCCACTTTTAGAAGATGTTCTTGCACTGTGCCAGCACGGTGGTACTAGCCCAGTACTGAAGTGCCAACTGGGAGGGGAGTGTCTTGTGGGAGTCTTGTGGGCTAGGAGCAGAATTCTTGGTGATACAAACATGAGTTTGTTCTCTTACGTATGCAACTGTAAGTCCTTAAGCTGTAGGGTCTGGACAGATGAAAAAGGTTAGGATCAGTAACTGTAAAGCACAGTTGTGTATGCTGCCTGCTTCCACTAAGACTTGCTTGGTTACCTTATTCCCAGCACCCATCTCCTCTAGCCAGGATCTTTAAAAGGACAAGAGGAAGGAGTTACGTGGGGAAGAGAGGAGAATGGGCAGACAGGCTATAAGCACAGTGCTCTGGGAAACAGAAGTAAAAACCACCTCAAGTAAACCACTGACATGTATAATTCAGCTTCTTGCTCTTTCTGTGTTTGGTCTTGGCTCAAGGAGTTTGATGTCCCTCTTCCAATCTCCTCTGTGAAGTCGTGGTATGGCTGGATGTGTTTGTCCTTAGGACCCATTCAGTTTGTATTAGAAAGATGTAGCAGTGCAGTGCCTTGTACTCATGAGCAGGTGCCTGTCATCTTTGCAAACGATCCTTTTCATGGTAAAACATCTGCAGGAGCTGATGTGTTGCAGAAAAGGAGAAACAGGGTTTTTTGTACTGATTCTCAACAGCAGTCTAATATAGTCTGGAGATACAACATAAAAAGCTTTCTTCCCCAAACTAGCACTTGACTTTTCACTCTAAAGCTGTATTCTGCTGACCTCTAAATTTGAAATTTGCAGATGGTTTGGGTATAGTATGTTTTTGGGTTTTTCTTTCCTCCTTCTTCCAAGAAACTTAAAGTCTTTTGTTTGTTTGGTTAGTTGGTTTTGGTTTTTTTTTTTAGAGGGAGGGATTCATTCTTCAACTGTTTTTTCTTTTTTTTTTTTTTTTTAAAATNTTTTTTTTTTTAGAGGGAGGGATTCATTCTTCAACTGTTTTTTCTTTTTTTTTTTTTTATTAAAATCTCTTGCCATGTTTCTCATGCTCAGCAGTTCATTAATCATGGAAGAGTGCAAGCAGTAGATTTATGTGTGCTGTAGTATGAAATCCACACCAGCCATGCCAATTTTCTCTGTGATTGATCCATAAACATTTTGCAGCGTACTGTGGTAGTGGGAGATCACGAGAGTCTGGCTATTTAATTATTCACTCCATTGGTGGTCTGACTTTTCCTACTCTTCCTCTCCCAAATACTCATGCTGCTTTGTGACCTACCTCTTTTTAATGTACTTTCTGTAAGATAAGTTCATCCATTTTTTTGGTTTGTTTTTTTGAAGAACAGAGTGCTTGTCAAGTGTATACTGTATGTTTAGCAAAGCAGACAAATACATTGTTGCTTCCTTTCAAGTGATGATCTTATGATAGAGAAAGAAAAAAATTAAATAATCTCTACATCAACTGCTATTGGAAGCATGCCCTGACTGTTCTGTTCTTCCACTTAACGTACACATGCTTTTTTCGAAAGGAAAGCACAATGGAAGGATATGGCTGAATTTTCCTCATGCAGTTCCTTGGTCTTTTCTTCACTGAAATCAGCTGTGCACCTGAAGTAATTTAGAGGTTATGCATTACAGCACAGGCTGTACATAGAGTTAAAATTTAAAATAGGTAGCTGTGTTTCCTCAGAGACTTCTGATGTTGCATATAAGAGATCTGTTGTCCGAAGTATCCACACAGCTACCCGAATGCAGTACATGTAGGTCAACAGTTAAGTAGTCAAATAACCTGTCTTAAAACTAGTCTGTGAATACCAAGTGTTCCTTGGGAGTGGCTTGGAACAGCATTTGTGAATAGATAAACCCCACCTTTGTTGTTTGACGGTTCTGGAATCTGGATGGGAAAAAATTGCCCCTTTTAGTACTAGGTTCCATAGCTTGCAACTTCACGGTTTAGATTCCTGTGAAATGCCTTCACACCACCTCCCTCCTCCAATCACAAATAAAGGTTTCAGTATTTTCTGTCTGAATATAGTAACCCATAGTGTCCACAAAAATTCTCTAGGTTGGGGAAACTCAGTAGCTGTCCTAAGATGATTATGTTGAAAGTGTAGCAGGTTGCAGGCTGAATTCATCAGGGAGCTAATCCCGAGCTAACTGAGCTGGCCTTACATCGGAAGTCTCCTGCTACATTTGCGGGCCTGAGATATTCAAACTGCATTAACAGCTTCATTGCAGAGACAATAAATCCATTTCATCCCAAGGGAGAGGCGACTGCAATTTGACCTATTTTCTGCCTCTCTGCCTTGCAGCCTGGCGCTACGTGGGAGCAACAGGAGGGTTCCTTTTCATTGCCATTCAGCTCATCCTGCTGGTTGAGTTTGCGCACAAGTGGAATAAAAATTGGTATGTGTTGGGCAAAGAGTTATTTGTTTTAAATTCTGGTGGGCTCCTGACCAATACTTTTGTCATAACAATGTAAAAGTGTCAGGAAGTAATTTTTGAAAGAAGACACTTGAATGTCAATATTCAGAGCTGTTCATAAGTGCTTCATCTACTTTCTCCTTCCCCAGCAGAAATACGTCCTTGTTGCTCACTTCTACTCAGCTGATATACTTGTAACCTGAATTGCTTGGCTTCCATTAAGTAGTACTGTCTTGGAAAGCAAAAATTTCTTACTTCAAGTTATTTTATATTTTATATGAAAACACATCTGCTAAGTAGAGTGGTGCAAGAGAATAAAACTGGATTTGCAAAATGTAATAGTGAAACTGTGTGCAATGTTGTAGACTGATAAATTCTGCTTTTTTTGTCAGTTTAATGCACATTATTTTTTTGTCTCAACATGAGAACTGCTAATACGTGTTCAGCTTCTTTTTTGTCATCTAAATACACAAGATTCCTTTATCAACCCAGTTATACACCACTTGGGCATTGACTTCATTTCTGGTTTAAGTAAATTTTCTATTACGTTCCTAGCCCTTTGCCTCTCATCAGTTTAAAATTTTTTAATTGTCTTCCCACATGTGCATACATGGAGGCAGGAACCCCTGCCTCCATTTCCATCTTTTCTGTCTCACATTTCTTCCTCTACAAACTCTTTCAGTTCTTTCTTGTTCTAGTTAAACACCTGCTAAGGAGTTTCAGCAAACCTTTGACTTTGCTAGATTCCTGTTTTCAGAGATGAAGAGATGAGAACTCCATTATAAAACAAATATTTTTAGTGCTAATTATTATAGCTGCTTTTTCATGTATGAAAGATTTCCAGCAGCAGCATGTAAGTTTAGCTCTCTTTACATTAGATACTTTTTAAAAAAATACTCCTGTTTCCACAAAACAACAGAAAAAAAGAAACACTAAAAAAACTTCCCATCCAAAACAGCCCACTGTATCAAAAGTCTCCTTTGGTTGCTCCTCTTAGACTCTGGTGGTCTTCACAAGGGACATTTGGAAGGGACAGAAAGATGGATCATGCTTTAGCTGAGGGAGACTGATGGTTAGACCCAAATGGAAAGGAGGTTTTTTGAGTGAAAGAGTAGTAAAACTATCAAGGAAGTACAAGGAGCAGAAGAGAGGCTGTGCTAAGCGATGTGCCTCTGCTTTCATTGTATGGAGAGCACCACTCGCTAGCCCAGCCTGGGATACTTTGGAGTGGCTGCTGAGGAAACCCCTGAAGTACTGAGCTGAGATACGCTGAAGGGGTGATCCCAGAGACTGGGAGTTCTGGGAATCCGCACTGGGCTATAGTAACAAAAACTGTTTGTGATACAGCAGAAGATAAACACTGATGCTAAGGAATGTTTCCCTCTGTTTCATGGGTAGGAACCTTGCAAGAGTCTGTGTTGGCGTAGTGACACACGCATGCTTCGGGAAAGTAAACACTGGTTTTTTGTGTTTGAGGATATGAACTATTCAGCTGTTAGAATTTTATGTTGGGAGGAAGAGAAGACAAAGATAAGATGCTTGTCTCTCTCTCCCCAGGACTGCAGGTGCAAACCATAAGCAGGTGTGGAGTGGTTTGCTTGCCTTGGTCACTCTCATGATGTACTCCATTGCTGTGGCAGCTCTGGTCCTCATGGCTCTTTTCTACACGCACTCAGAGGGCTGCATGTACAACAAGGTCCTGATCGGAGTGAACGGTGGTCTGTGCCTCTTTGTGTCCCTGGTGGCCATATCACCTTGTGTCCAGAATCGTGAGTCCACTGACTTTTTCTCCTCCTGAGTTTCTGGTGCTGCCACACTTGTGTGTCTGGAGGCATAAACCATGTCTGGGCAGAAGGTCTGGTGATAACTCAGAGCTGGTGGTGCTCTTGACCCTTTATCTACATTTTGAAGTGCTGTTGCACATTGTCAGCTTGACTGCTAAAACTACAGAGGTGTGAGAAATTTTGAGAGTGCCATCAGGCCACTTAGTGCAGAGAAGGCTCCCCTGTTGATGACTGGCACTGTCATGTGAAATTTACCTAAGTCTGGCAGCGGTAGTTGTCAAACGCACCACTGTTCTACCATTTACTTTTGACTTCTTGTGGTTTGTCTTTTGTAAAGTTTGTGCCTGGAGAAGCTGCCAGAAGTATTTCATACTTTGCATGTTGTTAGTATCTTGCATACATTGGGCCTGAAAATAGTAGTATTACTCCAACAGAATTTACAGGCAAATAAAATTATTGTGACAGCTTGTCAATAGCTTTTGAAAAGCTGCTGTGTTTGGCAAGAGCACAGAGGTGATTCTTACATGGGAATCTCTGAATGCTTTTCTAAAACAACCAACAGGAACTAAAGGATAAACGTTTTTCTCTTTACTGGACAGTGGAGCTGTATCTAAACTGTCTCAAACATTTATTAACTGCCTTAAGGAAAATATGAAGGATACTGGTGTGCTGTTCTTTAGATGATAAAAATTTCTTTTTCAGTTTGTTAAAGTGTCTACAAAAATAACTAATTTTCCTCTTTCTTTTGAAGGCCAACCCCATTCTGGTTTGCTGCAGTCAGGTGTTATCAGCTGCTACGTCATGTACCTCACTTTCTCAGCACTATCCAGCAAACCACCAGAAACTAGTAAGTTATTTAATGCTTTATGTAAATTCTTTTAGACGTTCCACATATTAAAAGCAAGAATTCAGCAAACCTGAATTAACAAAGTCAGGGATATAGAAGTGCTGGGCTTAGTCTTCATAGAAGAAACTGCAAATAGTACAAATAAATCTGTGTAGCCAAGAGACTGTGCATTTCCATGTATGTTAAATGCTTTGGTCTATGGGCACTTAACTTACCTTGAGTGAGTTGCGTCTGGTGCACCATTTCCTATTTCGTGTGAACAAGTTTCCCAAATTCTTATAGTCTATCCTTCCTGTGGCAAATAGGTGTTCTCAAAAAGGAGATTATAACATGTTTGGTCACATGATAGGAAAGGAATTGGAAGAAATGGATCTTGGATTCATCTGGAAGAAGCTGGGTGATCAGCTCCATCTGCAAGTTTACAAGGTCCAGTTAGTAGGTGCTGGCCATCAGAGTGGATACTGATATGACAGATTTTCTCCTAGAATTAGTTTGCTAGATAGCCCAGCACTGGACTCCTAATGGAGCAAAAATTTGAGTACCTCTTACATTTAATTTTGAGAGGAAACATTCTGAGAAAGGACTTGGAGTTACGTTGCAGTTGAGATGATGCTGTTCTTCAGCAGAGCTCCTGAACTCCCAGCTGCTGGCATTGCAACTAAGGAATATGGAACTCATTACAGTTTTAAGTTCTTTACATTATAAAACCAGAGCAAGACTTTACAGCACAGTTCAAACTTTCCTTTATCCAAATAAATATCAGATTCAAATGTTTGGACTGGAAGCATTCTTTTCAGTTAAAGAAGATTTTTCTAGTTTGAATTAGTAAACTAAAACACCCTTTCTTTATTACTGCTCAATTTTTAGTGTTCAATAGCTGAAACAACAATACCTAGAGGAAATAAGTCCAGGAAGGAAAAGTTTATACAGACACCTCTCAAGAAAAAAAGGGAGAGATGGGGAAAAAAAGTCTGTACGCTTGTGTAGACAAGAACATTCTAGAGTTAAGTAATAAACCAGGCACTATTTAGGTGTAAAATTTACTTACAGAACTTCAGCTGTGTTTTGAATTAATACAGAGTTGAATTTAGAAGGCATCTGAGTTACTCAAAAATCTTGACACAGTGTGCAAAGAAAAGGAATGGGAAAAAAATGATACATGGAATTAAACCATTTGCCTTGTGATACTTCATGCTTGTCACAAAGTCTTCTGCAGTTTAGTGAATGCTCTGATTCTTCTTGTATGTAATGCAAAGTGGTTATTGCATTTGTTAGAGTATACATCAAGCACACTTTCAGACCTCCTTGTCTTCGTGTGCCTGAGAAATTCTGGGTTATCATCTGCTCTCAGAAATGCTCTTTCCTCCCCTGTCTGTGTGATGAGGACTCTGCATTGCCTGTCAGCTTTCACAGTAGCATGTACTAGAGAATGTATGAGGTGCTGGCACTTACTGTGGTGTCCCAGGCCCTGTCACTCAGGTTGGCCATGAGCTTCCCTCTTGTCATCTCAGTTTGGCCATCATGTAAATTGCACATCTTGCATACAAGGCCTGAAGAAAATGCAAGTTATAAGTATTTGCAGCACTCTAGAAGAGTTGCTGATGTCTTTAGAAGGGATGGGCAAACAAAAAGTGATGTCTCTTGAATCTGTGCTAATTACAGCCTGCCTTAGCTTTTTGGTGCCAGAGTTGGTTAAAACACCTGCTAAACACTGGACGTGCCTGGCTGCAGACATGTCTCTGATGGACACAGCTGGGGGACGGAATCTGTGCATCTCTGGCCCAAGGTGTTCTGTAAAGGCTGGTCATCCTTTTTTTCACTTTCACCCCAGTGCTGTCCCTGCTGTGTGCAGATAAAGCTGTTTGTGCACCCCTGCAGGGCTGTACAAAGTCCTCTCCCACTGGGTCAGGGGACTGACTTTGAGTTTATTTTTAACCTGGATGTAGGCTTTGCTGTGTTTTTCCTCTGCCCCTACAAACAATTGTGCTGCCTTCACCACATGCATGATGCCTGCCGGAAGGAAATGCTGCCTTAAGCAGCATTGACTCAAAAAGCTCTTTATTTGCTACAAGGTGCTATAAGCTGTCATCTCTTGCTTTGGGGTGATGCTGCAGGGTACTCTATGCCTTGCCTTGACTCCAGGGAGATACTAAAAAGCCAGATGCAACTTGGAACATCAAGGACTGAGTTGGTTTCATTTCAGGGTCCAAAAAGTAGGATTTGCTTACATGAGAAGATAAAAACTTGCCTGTAAGTGTTGCATCCTTTTTTCCTTGGTCTTCTGTGTGTCAGTCTGAGAACAGGGCAGCTACCAACCACTTTTTTTCACTGTGTATGAATTTCATAGTTGTCCTCAAGGCACCCTTTGTGTCAGAGATTTTGTGGTCTGAAGTCTGTGCTATCTTGGTCTTACATGGTTTTGTAGCCTTGGGTGAAGTGTTGGCAGCCTTCCAGCTTCTTATTTCTTAGTTCACAAAAGAGGTTTTTTTTCCTTGTTTGTTTGTTGCGGTCAAACAGGAAATCTTAGTAGCCTACTAAGTTGCATTTTTGTTTTGCCTGAAACACAGAGTCTGTCAGGTGAGATTTACCCATTTTTTTCTCTTTCTAAAAGATAGATAGAAACAACTGCAATTTACCTATCTACTCTCTGATAATAAAAATATTTCAGTGAAAGCCTTCAGTCTGAAAATTACTTTAAAAAGCAATGAAATGAGCTCTGCAAAGTGTTCTTTTTGTTTGTTCTGTTTGGTGAAGTCCTGGATGAAAACAACCGGAATATCACAATCTGTGTACCTGAATTCAGTCAAGGCCTGCACAGAGATGAAAACCTGGTTACTGGCTTGGGTACTACCATTTTGTTTGGCTGCATTTTATATTCTTGGTAAGTCTGGGATTTTGCAGTTACCTCTCTGTAAGTACAGTGTTGTGGTCCAAACAGTGAAGGCTTATAGCAGACCTCGTGCAAAATCACAGAGGGATGTGGAATAGAGCTGAGTTGGAAGGTTCATATTGTGCTCAGCTTCAAAATTTTAAAAGTTTTAGCCAAAAATCTTCAGCAAGATAATGCAACTTTTGAAACAAATATATATCATTAAAATCAAATAGAACAATTCAGATCTGGAGGCAGAGGGGGAAAAAAAATCCACCTGTCCATGATCCCAAATAATCTCAGGGTTCTTTCATCTTGCATTTGTGCTTTTATAGGAAAAACCCTGTGTGGTTACGTTCACCTAAAAAAACCTATCTGAAATATTTGTAGCTTTCAGGCAGAGGCTATACTGTATTTCAGGGTCTTCAAAACAAACAAACAGTTTGGGATGGTTTAGGGCTTCTTTTGAACAAATGATGAGCATAGTATTGCCATCCTGATTTGTTATTGATCTACTCCAAAACAAATCCTTCTGACCAGGATGCTCACCTTTGATGTTCACCTTGTATTATTGCAGCTCATTGCAGTAAATTAAGATTTGTCTGGGGACAGTGAGTTGCTGGTGATGGAAAGGTGATGTGTCACTTGTTTTGGCTGTGCAGCTTGCCAGGAGACAGCACTGCCTGTCTGCTGCAGGTTTTTGAGCAGGTTCTGCTTCTGAATCAGTCCACTTCAAAATTCACATACAGAAACCCTCTCATATTTTTGAAGTGAAAGCAAGAGACTTCCTCTTTCATATGTGTTCCATTTTGTTCTGTTATAAAATACATACATATGTATATAATGGATCTAATTCACATTGGAAGGGCATTTCCAGTGCTTCAGGGAGGTGTTTCAGGATGCAGACAATATTCATGTAGCCTGGCACTGAAGTGTACCATGTAACTGGGGAGGTAAGCACGCCTTCAAGGGGAGTTTTGAAACACTGCTTACCAAGGCTCAGTATGTACACCAAAGCTTCCCTTTGGGAATGGGAAGTTTGCATTTCATATTTGAAAAGGGCAAGATTGGGCAAGGAGTGTTTCCAGTCAGAAGAAACTAGAAACGTTCCCCCCCAGACAACTACAGTCATGCAAGAAGGTGATTTCTAGGAACTTGTATACTGTAAGTTGCTGTTAATTTACTTTTGAAAACTGACTGCTGCCAGAGACCTGCGAGTTTGCTGGCACAGCCTTTACAGAAATGCTGAGCCAAATGATGGCTGTGAACTGAGTATAAAGGTTGTGCACAGCAGGGGAGACTCTTCTGACTTGCAAATTGGAGCACTTAAATTTTGCTGCTGTCAGATGGTGGTGAATTCATCACCTTTCAAGAGTGACCTACTTTTAAGCTCATGATTCAGTCTGTGCTGGCCAGTGTCCATCTGCTGGTTTATACCTAGTGCAGGACAAACTTTTCACTTTCTTAGTGCTTGATGATAGCACCCAGGCAAATGCTTAGCTTAGACTATTTGTGTTTTAGGACTAGACTGTTTATGTTTTCTGATGACGAAGAGTGATGTTGGAGAGTCACAGTGTTAGGTTTATAGTTGTACCCAGGGGTTTGACACTACCTTCTTTTTCTCCTAGTTTGACCTCAACAACACGTGCAAGTTCAGAGGCACTGAGAGGAATATATGCAACAGCTGAAACTGAAGTGAGTTCTTGATTCTTTCCACAGGATTTCTGGGCAGACTTTCATCTATGCTTCTATTGCTGTTGTTTTTGTGGCCGGTAATCTGTGATTAGGTGAAAACAGAAGCTATTGTTGGTAGCATGTATGCTGTGTGCTTCTGGGTATGGACTCATCAGAACACTTGTCCACATTGGCCCTTCTGTCGGTCTTGCTGGTCCCATGGAGATGCCTTTAAGTACTGAAATAATTTGCTGCTATTGAAGTTTATTCAGCATCCTGCAGACTTCCTGTAAATCTTGTGTTCCGCATGAGCTCATGTCCTCTCATTTAAAGGAAAAGTGTGTTGGAGAGCTACGAGGAGAAGAAGCAGGGGCATTCTTGAATATTTTCAGAACTGGTTGCCTTGATCCCAAGTTCTTATCTCTTATTTTTATTACCATATATCAGTATTTCCTTTCTTTTTGCTATGATTTAATCTCTGATTATGTATGTTATCTCCATTTCAGCTGTACAGGTTTCTTCATTCCACCTGCCTGTTTTTTTGGCTTCCTTGTCCTGGGAACGCCCAGAACTGGGAAATGAGTAGGGTTTTGCTGAGTAACAATTTCCCCTTGCTTAGGCTTGTTAGCGATGCTCTTCTAATGCACGTGTGTGTTTAAAAGATGATCTCCATCTTTGGCTTCTCTCTGCATTGATATTACTTGCATCTGCAGTTTTAGCTTTTATTTCACAAATCTTCCATCAGAGTGTTTGTGAGAGTTCAAAAATGCAGAGGTGTCTGCTGAGGCCCTTGGTGCTTGCAGCAGCTGGGCGTGGGGAAGCAAAACACATTTGAGTGTGGGTGGGAGTGCCAGGGGAGCTTCCCTGTGGCTGGACAGGGCGCCAGCGCCAGCCCGGCCCTTGCTGCCAGCCGGGCAGGGAGCACCGAGACCTGGCATTGCCTGTCCTAGGCGGGTCCTGTGCCCTCCCAGGTTGTGCTGAGGGGCAGGATAGGCAGCACTGGAGAGAAGACAGCCGCCCTTGGTGCCCCTGCAGCTCCTGGCCGGCCTTGCACCGAGGAGGCTCTGGCAGTGATGGGGTCTGCAGCCTGTGCAGGGCGGCAGCTCTGGGGACCGATGGCACGGCGTGGGCGTGGGATGTGGCCCCAAGCCGGCAAGGTCCACTCATCAGCTGCAGTACTTGTCCACTGCATTAGTTCTGGACCGTTGGGTTTTAAAGAGCGTCAAGAGCCGCTGAATGTAAACATAAAGAAACGACTGGTGAAGAGCTACTAATTGCACTGTGATTGCCTGGGCTGTGGCAAAGGGCCTTTGTGTCCCAGCGGAGAGGGTCAGTGGGCGGCTGTGCTGGAGGCAGCTGAGCGTTACCAGGGGCTGGGGGCGTGTGTGTGCCAGCGTTGCTAATTCCATCACTCACTCTGTGCCAGGACTTAATTGCAACTGGTTAAAATGTTGAAGGGAGCCCGGTGCTTGCTTCAGAATGTGAGTGTAGCCCCAGGGTAGCTCAGGCCAGCGCTGCAGGTGAGACCTGGCACAAGAAGAGTAGAAAGAGGTACAGAATAAGCGGTTTACTTAAACTCTTGGACAGTCTTTTGAAAAAGAACGAGCTTTTTGTCTTTTTTTGAACCCAGTGAGTAGAGGTACTCATGGATATGCACGGTAAACCTGCCACTTCATGTTTCTGCTGGACACATTACCTTAAAGACCTGCTCTCTGGGGAAACATGCCCCTGTAAGAGGGGAGAAGCTAAAACAGAAAATTTAGAAGTACAAAGCATTAAAATGTATTAATGTATATGAGGTGTCCCAGCCAAACTGAGGCACCCAAAATGTGGTTTCACATGGGGGTCTTCTACCTTCCAGGCATTCAGGTGCAGCATGATTTGACTAATCATTAGCCACCCACACCGTTGTTACTAATCATAATAAAACTTTGCAAAGCAACTATATTTCTGCAGCAGTCTTTCTGCTTGTCTGTTGATCCAGACATCCTTTAAATCAGTCTTGAGACAGTTGCTTGTTTGTGATCTAGTATGGTTTCAAAGGTGTTTCAGAAGCCCTAGGATGCTGGCCTTATCTTGGCTGTCCAGGGCCACATTTTATCCTTATGGACAGCTCTAAGTTTCCAAGAAGCAAAGTCCTTATTTCCAGGACTGGGCAGTCCTTTAGTTTGTTTTACTAAAGCATGAACAATACCAAAATCCCCAGTAAAATTCCACTGCCTCATTACATTGCACTGTATACTGTGAACTAAAATAAATAAACAAAGTTAATATACTTTCATACTATAAAGGCTGATTGATGTAATAGTTAGTGAAATGTATTTTCCTAACAGGGTTCATTGTCTTAACCAAAGCAAATTAAATCCCAGAGAAGGATATTATCAGTACAAACTATATTGGTGATGCAATACAGAAAGCGCTGAGTTGTACTGTAGTCCACTGCAGGAAATACACTGATATTTATTTATTGGCTGGTCAACACCTTTTCTCCATTTATGTTACCTTTTAACACAAGAAGTCTCAGTTTCAGCTGTTTTTTCTCCATCAGGTTAAAAAAAAAAAAGGAAATCTTCATTTAAATAAAACAGTAAAGCCAGGTTTCTGCTTTTAATCATTCTGTGTGTGCTTATTCTGGCTCCATTTCAGCAAAATCTTGCAAAGATAAGTACATTTCAGAGTTACACTGGTATAGTTGTGATTTCCAGCCCACACATCAGAGCTTTAAAAGTTGCTTATACTTTTCTCTTAGTACAGAAATGTCCTAAAAAGCACTTGTATGCAAATCTAAATAAATAAATCCCCTAAATATGAATGTGCTTTACTGTAGCTTTTCCACCATTTTGTCATAATTGTTTGCATCTGTGTTGGATCTAGAGCTATGTAAAATGGGTAATTTTTAAAGGCTGTCTCATTTCTTCCAATTGTACCTTCAATGAGTAGGTTTTTCCAAAGCTTGGAAACTGGTCTTATGAGCTACGGGGCAAATTGTAACTTGGGTTTTGTGACGGTTGGAAATACAAACCAGACTTTTCTAAATTAGTGTCTGTAGCTTAGACATAACAGACCTTCCTTCCCCAACTGTTGTTCTTTGCTGTAGCGCAGGTTCTTACCCCTTTCCTGTTGTCTGTTCCACAGGTAGCTCGTTGCTGCTTTTGCTGTGTACCCGATGGAGATGGTAATTATGTTTTCACTGCACTATTTACCTTATTTGTGGCTTTTGGACCAAAGCCAAGAGAGTTAGGACGCAGCTGTGGATGGAGAGCTGCTCGTACCCTGATTCAACAGAGTACTGAATGCAAACTGAAGCAGAGGAAGTGCTCCAAATTAGGCTACTAACAGGGAAGCAAGAGATGTTACAATAACATTAAAAAATACTAGCTAGTTAATAACTCTTTAAAGTACATTTAATTACAGCAACATACGAAGAGTAATCTCTGCTTTTTGCATGCCTGTGAGTGTAACTGGCTGCTGGATTTTTGGCTCAGCATCTCTGCAGAGACTGCAGTTGAGGAGTGAGATAGGAAGGGAGTGTCCTGTTTGCAGACCTGGTACAACTGGGATTATGAGCTTGGACTTTCCAGAAAAACATTGCATAGGTAGAGCAATTTGAATGCTTTCAATGCACAAATCTACTCATTGTAGTAGAGCCAGGAAGCTGATACAAGACAGAATTTCAGTTAGTCCAGTTTTTGACTCAAGGTTTAGGCCCATGCCCTGAGGACAACGAAGTGTTCAAGTCCTGCTCTGAGTCAATCACGCTTTCCCAAATCACACCATAGAAGTTCTGCTGTGTTTTTTGTGAAGCCAGCTGCTGTTTTCAGTTCTCATTACATTTGCAAAACTTTCTTGTTTTCTGTCTGTTACAGCTGATGCTGAAGAGCATGTTGAAAAAAGGGGAGGCCAGACTGTGGTTTATGATGAGAAGAAGGGCACAGTGTACAGTTATGCCTACTTCCACTTTGTTTTCTTCCTGGCTTCTCTCTATGTGATGATGACTGTAACTCACTGGTTCCAGTAAGTGTGTTTCTTTTATGCTGACAAATTGACTGTGTTGAGAGGGAAGATGTGAACAGGAAGTTCTGCTATTTGGGTGTTTCCTATCCTTATGGCAGAAGTTCAAAGAGACATTACTAGTGTTTCTCAGGCAGTCTTTCCCTTGCCTCCTCTGTGGGTTAACCTAGTTAAAGACTTTCGTTTATTGCTAAATTTCATGGTTTTCTTTTTTATTTTGCTCTTAACAGTTACGAGAGTGCTCAGATTGAAAAATTCTTCACTGGAACCTGGTCTATCTTCTGGATTAAGATGGTCTCCTGTTGGGTTTGTGTCTGTCTGTACTTATGGACTCTTATTGCTCCACTCTGTTGCCCAACCAGAGAGTTCTCAGTGTGAACAGTCAAAAGGTCATTTTAAGTTTTTCCTTTTTTTTTTTTTGGTTTTTTTTTTTTTTTTTGTTTTGGTGGAATGAAGAAACACCTATCACCCACTTATCATAATGTACCAATTATTACCTTTTTAGTCAGACTAAACAAATGATTGAAGACTTTTTTTACCATTTTTTATTATCATGATAAAGCATTACCTAAGGGAACAAACCTGTTTCAAGCCTTTACAATGTGTGGTGTGTAGAAAACACAGTTGTTGCATAAACTGGAATAAGTGAAATGCTTTTCAAATAACTGGCAATCCTTCTTTGGCTTCATTGACAAGAAAAGAAAAAATAATGGTGCAGATACAGATTCTTACTTCCCATGAATGTTTGGTATCTTCTAGCAAGTATGCATTCATTCCTTTTTATACTCTTTCATTAACTGTTTCTTTTACAGTTTGCAGTGATGATTTGAACTGCTGTTTTGTACAGCATATAATTCTTGTAAGTAGTATCCAGGTAGTTTTTTTTCCAAAAATATACCTAAATACTTTCATAGAAATAAGAGAATATATAAGAATTTGACTGCCAAAGCATCTAGTAAAAATTGTTTATCTAAGTGTTAAATATATTAAGTTATTGTATACCTAGATTGAGAAAGGAATGTACCAATGATAGTAAAGTATTTATTCTATTACTACTTTAAAGGCACCTGGATGTTTTAAGCAATTCAGATTTAGCCCAGTTATCAACTGAGGGGGAGTTCTACACAAATTCTCAAACTGAATTTTGTTGAATTTTGCTTTGCCAGCTCACTCAAGCATTGATTATACTGAATGGGGATGTGAGATAAGGTACATTCTTTTTTACAATGTTTGCTACTGAGGAAATGATAGTTAAGGGAGCACTGCCAGTTGCTGTTAAATTTGAAAGTGGGGTGCTCCTTTACTTTCCTACCCTGCTGTTTCAGCTTGTGTCTAAAGGTCTCCCAGGATCTTCAGTTCAGTTTCCATGACTAGTTTTATAACAGTTTAGATGCATTGAAGGTCAGAAAAGGATTATAGTGTGACATCATCTTTTCTGCTTGTGTGTTGGTTGGAAAGTATGGTTTCTAACAGCTATATTTTTATACTCCTCTGTTGATACTAGTTTTGCTGTTGGGATGGGACTTAGCCAACCAATATATTCATGGAGACAGAATTCTCCTGTAGAACTGCTATTCCAAGCACCGGAGTAAGCAGAGAAACAAAACCAGAAGACACCAATCTAACAAAGCAGCTGCCTTAGTACAAATGACTTGACTATGTTAAACACTACCTTGTCTTCTTTTTTTTCCTTTCTTTAAGCACATGATTTGGACATGGAACAACGGCTCAAATGCCCTGAATGCTGAGTAAGGTTGAACCCACATAGTTGTCTACATTCTGGTGGGATGAATTTATGACTTCAGCTAGTCCTGGAGGTTTTTGTCTTCTCTCCCTTGACATATATTCACACACATGTACCGTGTGAAGTATCAACCAGTTTAGCACCTCTCTTTAAAAAAAATAGATGGTTGAGCCTTAAATCTTCATCCACTGCTTTCTGCAAAACAAAGAAAAGCACAGCATAAAGGCCAAGGCGTTGGCCAAAAGATTTGCATGCCTTAGTTGTTCTGTTGCAATAATTAATGGCTAATACTCACCAGGTGAATAATCTTAACATAGTGGATCTTGATTCTGGTCTTGTTAAATTTTTATCTGGCTTGTTGCTGTGGTATCCCAGGGCTTCTGTCCTACTTGGAGCTTTCTAGGGATGTGACCTTCCCTACCCTGTGCACTCTTAGCTGAAACAAAATCTTCAGGTCTGCAGTTCTATCTGCTTATACTACCTATCCCAGTAACCAGAGCCTCAAAATAAATCTGTCCTGAGATCTGAGGGAAGGAGGAGTCTGTCCAGCAGTGACTGTCTTGGTGTTCTTGTTTGCACCAAGAGTTAAAAGTAGCAGTTGAAGCTGGGCTTTAACACTGAGTTAGAAAGACAGCAAATAGCTCTGGAGAGGGAGGCAGGTTTTTCTCTTTTCCTTTGCTTCTGCTGCGAGGTTCTGATCCTGCCAAGATCTCTGCTAGCATGGGGACTTGTCAGAATGTTTTTGCCTGCCTTTGGAGTCTTGCTACACAGAAAATGGCCTTTTCTGCAGCATTTGTTAATGCATTTTCAATCCAGAAGCATTTACCTATCCAGTCTCTAAGATATCCACTGCACCTTATGAGCTGTGCAGTGATGACCAACAGTTGTCCCACCTAACTCATAGAAGCAATTTTGACAGTTTTGATTCAGTGCTAGAATTCTGTGCTTCAACTGAGATAGTCCAGGCTCTTGCTCCTGCCTTGCCTGGCCCCTAGAGGCTTGCAGGATTTGCCTTCTAATGCCATGTATGTTGTATACGGAAACAAAGTTGGTTTTTTTTTCCCTTATTTAGCCATGTTTTTTGTAACAGAACAACCAGGGAAAGGAACTTTACAGAAGACATGCACTATGTCAGCTTTTAAGGCAGGGAATAGTACCTGTTCTCTGGTTCTGATAGCAGGCATCCCAGTCACAAATGTGGATGATCTTAATACATATCTTGGCCCTTAGATTTTTTTAATTGTTTATGAAAATACTTACTTTATGCAGTCTCTGCATCAGGACTTTCTGCATGTCCTTGTGCTCATTTTCTAAATAGTTTGTGTTTAGAGAAATATGTTTTGCACAGAGGAAACTAAGTTATAAAAAGTCCACAGTGAGGTATGACTCCATTCTTACACAGCACTCACCTCACTAAGTTGCTCCTTCATCCTTGCTCTTGATCTTAAGCATCTAGATCAGATACATGTAGAGTGAGAATAGGGCATTGCCTGTTTACACAGTTTTGTTACTTCTGATGAACTATTTGGGGGAAAACCCCCCAAAATAAATAGCTTCAAGGGCCTGTGTGTCTGTGGTGCCACAGATTCAGCTGTGGGCTTCCAGGCCTTTCTAAGGAATCAGTAACTAGTGGCACCTGGGTGTGGAAAGCCTTTAGTTCCTCACCAAGACAAGGCTTCCTGCTGGTCAGGCAAATGTTACAGCCTTAGTGTTTGCTGTAAAATCTGTACTGTGAACTTCCACGTGCAACTACACAACAAAATCCTCGGCTCGGGTCAAGGAAGTAAATTCCCAGCCCATAGATTCCAAACAGTTCATGCAAGTGGGCTTTTAAAAACAACTTTATAAGAAGTGCCTTCATGCCTACTGCTGTGATAACTATTAATTCAGGTGGCACTAGAACTGGAAAACCTGGACTGAGTCTGAGCCTGGGTGGTGCTGCCTTGTACATTACACTGGTGTGTACAAGGCAGTCAGACCCACAGTGTATGTGGAAGACCAAATAATCTGTGCTTGACAAACTTTTGGGGATAAGACTGCTTCAGGTATTACTGTGCAGTGGAAAATTAACCGGGAAAACTCACAAGTAGCCTGATGCTTTTGTAAATAAATGAGTAATTTAGCATTTAAGCTGTAAACAGTTAACTTTCTTACCCTGTACCTGAGGCGGATCACTGCATGGTGTCTACCCTGCCTTACGCCACGATTGTTCATTGAATTTGTTCCCAGATGTAAGCGGTGCAGCACTTCTGGCTCCTGGTGGGTTTGGGCTGTGTGAAGTGAGGAAGTTTACAAAGGGAGCAAGACCAGAGAATGTGTCCTGTGCTAAATTTCCTCTATTTAAATTTGAAATAATGCTGTGGTTTAGTAGACTCTTGGAGGAACAGACAGTGTTGACAGAAATTCTGCTGGGAAGGTGGAACAATTTTATTGGCTTTTTTCTACTTTTCCGAATTTGCCATGATGAAGATTATTTGGGACCTCACTGCTGCACTGTCTGAAACTGGAACAATTTTAATTTTCCTTGTGAAGGCAATCAAGAGCTACAGTTATGGCTGGTTCTTGTTATGGCTGGTTCTTGTTTGGGCTGGTTTTACCAGTGGGACGGACTTGGAGAGCAAATGTCTGAATCCAAATAGCTGGACTAATAAATGAGACGATAGAACTTTACTAGGAACGTGTGGAAAGCAGATGGAAATGCTTGTTTCCTGTTTGCCACATAGTCTCTCAAAGTGTGCAGGCAACCCTTGCAGCTGGATGCCAAGTAAGAAGCTCCACTGCAGTCGCACATTGAAGATACTGCATGTTTGTGACACTCTCAGCTTTCTCCTGCCAGCATTTCCATGAGGCTCAAACAGCTTGTATGTGCCCAGTTAATGTGGTAAATCCTGGCTGGGCTGCTTTCCTCTGAAATGCATGATTCAGTGTTGCTAATGTATGCATAGTCCAGTGAGAGGGTTTGTCCCCTTGCAGGATCGTAAACACTGCATGTCTATTTATTTATTTATTTGTGTTTTAGCACCTTCTTAGAAGTTTATAAGTGCTTTGAGATTGTAAGTTACGCATCTGTAATTGCTTTGTCGGCTACTGCTGCAGCCATTTCTGGACTAGAACATTGCTGTTAATGAAGCAATCATTGCACTTGTGAAAAAGCTGGTTTTTAACAATTAGATGGCTTTGATGACATCAGGAAAATTTGGGTACTTAAGATGGTGCTGCTTGAGCTTTGGCTAGCAGCCCACAGTATCATGGGCATCTCTGAACAGATCAGCAACAAAGTAATCACTGACTACTTCTAAACTGCGCTATAAAAATTTTATAAGCTGCTAGGCTTTTCTCCTAAGTAAGTTGAAGCAAAATACCCCAAGACTGTACCTATGTAGCTAGTTGAGATTATGTGCGTATGTAGAGTTGAGATTATCCACAGCTAAAATTTTGCTCTCATCTTTTCCTTCTGGGCTTTAGAAGCAATCCCTTTTGCTCGCAGACTATTTCACCTTGTTTTATTTGCCTTTTTCTCCTTGGATTTGTTTTTTAAAGTCATTGAAAACCTGCTTAATTCCCAGACAGTCTGCTGTCTGTCACAAATACGATTTCTTTGGTGCTAGAAACTAGCAAAGACCTCTTTGCCAAGTCTTACTGATCCTTTCCTTTTCATAGCAGGACAACCTGCAGCTTTGAAGCAGAATCAAGGATCATAGTTTATTACATGGATCAGTTTTCCTTTGTGAAAACTGTTTCTTTGTTTTCTGAAGTGGCCTACAAGTTCTTGTGGGAGGAAAACACATAATCAATGCCGTGACATTTTACTTGTGTTTCCAGTTTTGTAAACAGTAGTTAGAATTCAGTGTTTCACATGACTGTACAACAGAATGCCAGAGGTCAAGTGCTTAGAAAGCTTTGGCTTTTTCTACTTGGAACAGGATATATAGCTTGGGAACTAGTATGTCTCTGCATTTTCTACATCCTCATGGCAGAATGCCCAAGTGCTGCAGGATGGGGATGTAGACACACTGCAGAGTTCAGAGCAGCAGCTTTGAGAGACTGGCATGATGATTGCTTTGTAATGCCCAAAGAAATCCTGTAGGTATAAATCCCATTTGTTTGGGGTTTTTTATCAAATCTGGATTTGATTCTTCCCACACCTGTTCAGTAACGTTGATTTTAAAAAGTTAGAATTTATTTCAGATGTAAGCCTCGTTGGCTTCCCTGCTGTCTCCGATAGTTCCCAGAGCATAGTGTATGGATACTTCCACAGACTTGTTCAGAGGCACAGTTGTCAGCTTTGAAACCACTCCAGCAGCCTAAAGCTTCCAGGGCTTTTGCTCACCAGAGCTGCAGGGTGCAGCACTGCAGCCATGCTTTTGCCAAAGAAGCCTCAATGTGAAGCCAAGAAGAAAGTGTGAAGCCAAGAATTTTTGAAAACTATGGGGAAATAATGGATCATTGTTCATACCGTAGCTTTAGTTTTCCTCTTTCCGATACAAGTCCAGGTGCTTAGGTGTCCTTTGGACATCCATGCAGACTTAAAGTGAGGAGAATTAACTTCCAGATAAAATCATTCTACTTGTAATATACAAGCTGAGAAAAGATTTACTAGAAACATAGGAGTTCAGTGTCTGCTTTTTCTTCACCACCAGTGCGTGGTGTTCATTCTCATATATGCCATGTTCAAAAACTGGATGCAGAACAGTCAAAGTGTAAACACATTTTCTTAATGGTGAGGGGATTTTAATTAGTCTTTTTCAAGGTTCTTAATATCTCAAGGGAACTTTTTGGTGTGTATGTGTGATTTTATTTTATTAAGCTGTAGCCCAGTGAAGTGGAGGTTTGCTAGTTTATTTAACTTTTTTGCAAGTGTCGTGGTCTGTAGTAACTGTAATAGTTTGACTTTTATTAAAGATTGGTAAAGATTCCAGAATCATAAGATCTTAATGGTAAAATAGTAAACAGCTTTGCCTTTTTAAAGCATGTTAATGGTTTTTATGGACACTTCCTTTTGTATACTGAGTGAATGTATTGTTATAGATTTAATGTTTAATGGACCAATAAAATTTTTCTTACATTTGAAATGAATCGTTGTAATGCATTAAAGTTGTAAACTCAATTCAGTCCAGGAGAAATTTTAAAAATACCTAAATATATGAGTTAAGCAGTTAGTGAGTCAGTAGAAGTCAGGTGGTTGGCCTTTTTTGTTCACTAGATTTGGGTGTTATTTAACAAAAAAAATTAGCTCTAGGGATGGTTTCACTGTCGCTGTTATTTTTGTATTTCTGCAGGGTGTGATACTGGACAATGGCAGATTGCAGGGATTTGTCGATGGCCTCTGCTTTGTACAGTCCATCCCTGAGATGTGTAGGATACCCTGACAGTGCAAAGAAATATCTTCATGCTCCATGTAGCACTAAAGCCTGTGCAGCTGTTGAGACATAGATCTCTGATGTTTAATTTTTTTCCTCTCACTTGCCCAGATGGTGGGGTGGGCAGCTGTTGAATTTGGCAATGTGAGATCCACACCAGGGAAAGTGCTTGGTCTTCAGGGGTGGTGGTTCCTTCCCTCTCACTGTCCATGTGCTGTTCCAGCATGTGCCAGCTGCAGCCTGCCTGCTGGTATTGGTGACACCCATGCTGGACAGCTGACCAGACCCACGTCAGGACACAGTTCCCTGTGGTTTTGAGAAAATGCTGACCAAGCTTCAAAGGAGTTAGTGGTGGCTGCTGTTCCTTGTGCAGCTCTGGTGCTTGAGAGCTCTGGTGCATGGAGCTGGGAGGGTGTGTGTTTGGATATAGGAGCAAGGCGCACACAGGTTCCTGAGTAGTGTCCAAGGGCTGAGACAGTAAGTGCCTGTGCTCCACAGCCCACCCCTGCTCTCACCCAACACCGCCGCATCCTGGCAGGTTGTTCCCTCCTCGCAAATAAAACCACATCTTCAGGGAACTAAAGCATGTGAATTGTGTTTGCCATGGTGTTTGCAGCACACAGGAAAGAGTTAACCTTTGTTGAGATGTTAGATCCTAGTACAGAAGTTGCAGGACTCTCAACTCCAAAGTGGTTACAGCTGCTGCTCCAGCTGAGCACAGCCCTGCTGTGCAGGCAGCGGGGTCAACAGAGAGCTACATGTTTGGTTTTAAAGATGGGGGATTGTAGCGTCTTCACTTGCCAGAGGCCACACATGGAGCTATGTCTGCATTGCACAATAGTCCAGAAAGGGGTCATGGTGCTAGGGAATCTTGTTTAAATACTTTTAAACAGGGACTGCACAATCTCTGATGAGAATGTGAGAGGCAGAAGGTTTCCCAAGCCCAGACTGCTCTTCATGGGGCAAATGTCTGCAACAGCTGGCGTCACTCTTGAGCTTGCAGGCTGCCCAGCAGTTGGTGTATTGATGTAACAGACATAGTAAGCTCCAGCATCCCAACGCACCTTCTGAAACTAAAGTTCTGTCTGGCTGGCCTGTAGGGTGGCCAGCAGGGCAAGCCAGTATGTTCTCTCTCGGGGGAGGTTAGAGGCTCGCAGCTTCACAGTTACCTTTGACAACAGCATGTGAGGCAAAGCCTGTATCTTATCTTCTAGCCTTCAGTGGCCGTGGACTGAAAGAGAACCTGCAAACAGGGAAGATCCATGGTGGTAAGGCAGCTGATAGGGCAAAGGACCAGGCTGCTCCCTCCCAGCCACTGTAGCAGGAGAAGCTCTGTCTGCAGGCAAGAGGGCTGAGCAGAGCTTTGGAGCCTGGCAAGGATTGGAAGGCCAAGTGCATTCATGTTTTCTGATGGAGCAGGTGTGTACTGGCCGTGCTGCAGACAGGTCACGGTGGGCCAGGCCTGTTGCATCCACTGTGAGGAGACCACTTGTGCAAAATGTGAGCACTGCAGGCTCCAGCTGTTCTGCACCTGTGGTGTGCATGAGTGCAGTGACTGCCTTCTGCCTGTGCTGTGCCCAGACCAGGGATCCACTCTGAGATGATTTCTGCCTGGTGAAGGGGGTCCTTCTGGTGAAATGGATGATAAGGAAGATGTACATTTGTTTTACAGTGAGTGTTCTCCTTCATGAATGAACAATACTGCAGTTACAGCCCATGTTAAGCCAGAAAAATAGATTTTTTCTCATCTTTTAAGTGTAATTGGACAATTCCCTCTGTATTGCTCTGAAGTAAATAGCCTTTCAGTCCTCGGACATCTGGTGAGTGGTTGTGCTTTGTGAAGCCAAGGGCAAAGGAGAACTGAAACTGGAGGACCTTTCATCATGAAGCACTGAATCAGAGGAACACTCCTGCCTCACGCTGTTTGTAGTGGGACTGTAGGATTCCTTCTGGGACAGCTCCTGGGGTTGTCCTGCTTCCAGAAACTTTGGCAATGGTGGTCAAATCTATGGGAAAATACTGCTAATAGTCAAAGCCTCTGATAGCTGATCATATCCATAAGGGTGTTTGTCATGGTTTGACCCTGGCCAAATGCCAAGTACCCACAACAGCTTCCCACTTGCTTTCCCCAGCCACAGCTGGGCAGAGGAGAGGAAAAAAAAAAGAAACATTCATGAATTTCAATAAGAAACTAGGAGGAAACACTCCAAAGGGCAAAACAGGCTCAACTTGAAGTTACAAAGTGAATTTATTACTAACAGAGATAGAGGAAGATAATGGGAAGTAAAATAAGCCCTTCAGACACCCTTTCTTCCAGTAATTTGTCCCGCCTTCCCACCAACAGCGCAGGGAGCGGGTGTGGGGGTTTTAATCACTTACAGCTTCTTCCACTGCTCACGGAGAGGCGTCCTTCGCCTGCTGTGCCCTGGGGTACTTCCCATGGGAGACAGTTGTCCGTCTCACAAGCAGGAGTTCTCCCAAAACTGCTGCAATGTGAGCTCTTCCCACGGGTAGACAGTGTTCCCCAAACTGCTGTGCCGTGGGTCACTTGTCCACGGGGGACAGTGCTCCAAGGACAGGCTGCTCCAGCCTGGCAGCAGCAGCCCCCTCTCTCTACCAGGACTGCCAGTGGAGCAGAGCCTCCTCCAGGCATCCACCCGCTCCGGCGTGGGCACCTCCCCA